TTTTTTGCCTGCTTGTACAATGACAGAATTACTATTTCATAAGCTGCTCTGAGTATGCAAGGCAATCYTCCCCTGTCAGCCACACGGAAAGCACAGTACAGCACTTGGGCTACAAARCCAGTTTATTTTGCACAAAATACCACAAACCATGGCAAACCCCMGAGTTTCCAACTCAGTTTCCCTCATGTTGGTAGCCAAAAAGCTGCCATGCAAAGGGAACTAACCGGTGCACAGTTTGAGCTGTAGCAGGGTTTAGTTCGGTGGGTTTATCTGTTGCTGTGCTCTCTCCACACACAACACCAAGCATTTAGMAGCAGTGGCAGCTTTTATCTTCCCCTATCTGCTTCTGCACTGTGCAAGAGGCAGTGCACTGTGTCTGGTGGAGGAAGCAGAGGGGCTTTCAGCTGCCGGGGAAAGATAACCCTACCATTGCCGGTGCTCTCCTGGCCCACGCCGCAGRTTCGGATGCAGTAGGTGCAGCCACGCCCGCCGCAGCGATAGCCTTCCCTGCACGTGCATTCAGCATCACTTGTCGAGGAGCACTTCTTTAAATACCGGTATAATCCTGCAAGGGAAAAACGAATCTTAGCTTACAGCACGCCCACCGTGGTGAAGGAAAGGCTCGGACCTTTTCTCTCACGAAAACCAGGCTGGTGCCTTCAGTCCCGCACACGTGCGTCCCCCCGGGCAGGTGCCAGCCACGGGAGGTCACAGCAGAGCTGGTGGCATCGCCGCCGGTACCTTCGCACTTGCGACACATCCTGCAGTCGCTGCGTCCCGCCGTGCTGGAGAAGGTGTCGGGCGGGCAGGGCAGGCAGGACGGGCGCGCTCCCGGTCCGCACTCCGCGCTCGACACGTACGTACCTGCGGGACGAGACACAGCGCTCAGCGGGGCCGCGCCCGGTGCATCGCGACACGGTATGGCACGGCACGGCACGGCACGGCTCTTACCCGCCGGACAATCCGCCACGCACGGCACACCGGCCACAGGCCCCGGGCTGAGCGCCAGCGCCAGCAGCGCCGCGGGGAGCAGCGCCCGGCTCGGAGCCATGGGTCGGAGCGGACTGTGCGCGGAGCCCAGGGCACCGACCCTTAGGGGCCGCCCCCGAGGGGTCGGGCTGCGTCATCCCGGGGGCGGTGGGGAAACTCCGGCCCCGCGGGGCTTTCCGGACCCTCCCGGTGGCGCGACCCCTCAGCTCTGCCGGGCAGCGCCCGCTGAGCGCTCTCAGCGATGCCGGTTAGTGGTCGCCCTTTTCACCGCTGGGGCTTCCCGMTGAGCGCCGCCCGGAATCCCCGGGAGGTGAAGGATGAGAGGCGGGGCCGGAGATGCTGCAGCCACGAGTGCATGACAGGGACACGCGGGGACAGCCGAGCGCCGCGCTCTGGCCGGGARCGCGCAGAGTGACACCCGCGCACGGGAGCGCGCACCGGCCCCGGGAGCGGCGCGGCCCCGCC